TCCCCAATTTTTCCCCATTTTTTCCCCATTTTTCCCCATTTTTTTCCAATTTTTTCCCATATTTTTCCCAATTTTTTCACCATTTTTCCTCCATTTCTTCCCAATTTTTTCCCCAATATTTTCCCAATTTTTCCTCCATTTTTCCCAATTTTTTACCTTTTTTTTCCCCATTTTTCCCAATTTTTTCCCAATTTTTTCCCAATTTTTTCCCAATTTTTTCCCATATTTTTCCCAATTTTTTCACCATTTTCCCTCCATTTTTTCCCCAATATTTTCCCAATTTTTCCTCAATTTTTCCCAATTTTTCCCCATTTTTCCCAATTTTTTCCCAATTTTTTCACCATTTTCCCTCCACTTTTTCCCAATTTTTTCCCAACTTTTCCCCAAATTTTCCCCAATTTTTCCCCATTTTTTCCCCATTTTTTCCCAGTTTTTTTCCATATTTTTCCCTATTTTTTCACCATTTTCCCTCCTGTTTTTCCAATTTTTTCCCCAATATTTTCCCAATTTTTCCTCCATTTTTCCCAATTTTTTTTCCCTTTTTTTTCCCAATCTTTTCCCATTTTTTCCCAATTTTTTCCCAATTTTTTTCCCAATATTTTCCTAATTTTTCCCCATTTTTTCCCTTTTTTTCCCAATTTTTTTCCATTTTTCCCCATTTTTTCCCTATTTTTCCCCAATTTTTTCCCAACTTTCCCCATTTTTTTCCCAATTTTTCCCATTTTTTCCACCATTTTCCCTCCATTTTTTCCAATTTTTTTCCCAATTTTTCATAACTTTTCCCCCATTTTCCCTTTTTCCCTTTTTCCCATTTTTTCCCAATTTTTTCCCAATTTTTTCCCAATTTTTTCCCAAATTTCCCTCAATTTTCCCCCAATTTTTTCCCATTTTTTCCCAATTTTATTCCCATTTTATTCCAAATTTTTCCCATTTTTTCCCAATTTTTTACCCAATTTTTCCTCAATTTTTTCCCCAATTTTCCCTCATATTTTTCCAAATTTTCCCCCATTTTTTCCCAATATTTCCCCTATTTTTTCCCAATTTTTCCTTCAATTTTTCCTCAAGTTTTCCCCAATCTTTTCCCAATTTTCCCCCAATTTCCCTCAATTTTATCCCATTTTCCCCCAATTTTTTCCCCCTTTTTTTCCCAATTTTTCCCCAATTTTCCCCAAATTTTTCCTAAACTTTTCCCATTTTTTCCCCAATTCTTCCCAAATTTTCCTGCATTTTTTCCCCAATTTTTCTCTAATTTTCTCCCAAATTTTCCCCATTTTTCCTTCAATTTCCCCCAATTTTCCCAATTTTTCCACAAATTTTCCTTCAACGTTTCCAAACTTTTCCCCAATATTTTCCAAATTTTTCCCCAATTTTTCCCCAATTTTCCCCCATTTTTTTCCCAATTTTCCCAAATTTTTTCCTCTGCTCTTCCCAATTTTTTCCTATTTTTCCTCCATTTTTATCCCAATTTTTTCCCAATTTTCCTCAATTTTTCCCAAATTTTTTCCTCTGCTCTTCCCAATTTTTTCCTATTTTTCCTCCATTTTTATCCCAATTTTTTCCCAATTTTCCTCAATTTTTCCCAAATTTTTTCCTCTGCTCTTCCCAATTTTTTCCTATTTTTCCCCCATTTTATTCCCAATTTTTCCCATTTTTCCCCCATTTTTTTCCCAATTTTTCCCCAATTTTCCCCCACTTTTCCCCCATTTTATTCCAAATTTTTCCCCACTTTTCCCCCATTTTTCCCCAAATTTTTTCCTCTGCTCTCCCCGATTTCCCCCCGATTTTTCCCAACTTTCCCCCCATTTTTCCCGGGAATTCCCACCTGTCGGGGCTGCTCCGTCAGGCGCTGGGGGTCGCTCCTCACTTTATTCCCGGGGTGATTCGTCACCTTGGTCACCGGCTGTTTGAAGATGGACGCCGTCTGCCGGATCGGCAGCGCCGTGTTCAGGTCCGGCTTTCCCTGGGGAAAAAAACCCCGGGAAAAAAAACGGGAATGAGGCCGGCATTCGGCGGGAAAAACGTGCAGAGGATTTGGCGGGAAAATGAGGGGGTTTGGCGGGAAAATGGGGGGATTT